AAAAAAATGTTGGCTGCCAGTGGGGCAGCTGAAGCCCAAGAGCTGGCAACAAGTCTAAGGTACCTACTGGTGGGGAACCATAAGAAAGGGGCAGAAGACGCCAGACATATCAGTAGGAAAAGAGCAAAATCTAAATATAAGTCAAGATAAAGGCTGCGGTTGTCAACTTGCCCAAGGGTCTCTCGCCCACATCCTTGTCTTTTCAAGTGTCTCCCCAAGTTCCTGGTACAAGTCTAAGGCTGAGAAGCAACTGCAGCTTCTTCTACAGTCTCTCTTCCAGTCTTCATCTCCACCGTTTCTTCTTCCCTTCCTCCATTTTGCTCTGCTTCTTCCTTGTCTTGAGTCCTTTACCCAGCCTTTCCTAGCTTACCTACAGCTCCACTCTTCCTTAGGGTGCGGCAGGGAACTTGAAACCTCCCCTTTCCCTGGGGATTATCCTGTTACAGATGGACTCTAATGGGCTGTGCCACACCATCTTGCTCTCTCCACTGGTAGCTCATTTTTTGTTTTCAAAACGTGGATGTTTAAGTGAACTTTGCCTCATCTACATTTCACAAAGCACTAATGAAATAAATATTAACAGTCCAGGCTTGAGTAAGGAGGTGAACTACTTAGCTAGGTCGGTTAAGTAACTTGCCCAGGGTAGCTGTTGGGGCAGACATGGGATTCCAGTCAATTTGTCTGCTGGATTACTTTCCCCTCATAGAACCAGTCAATCATGAACTCTGAGAACTGAGAGCACACAGAAACAGCTATCACCCCATCCCCCACCCCATTAGATAATCTTCACTCAAAGATGACAACAAAGAAGCAGTTTCTGAGTTTTTATTAACATGTGTTTTTAGAAACAAGCATCCATACCAATGAGGGTGAGCAGGAGAGAAAGGGAAGGATTCTGTTCTATTGGTAATAAAGCTCCAGGTTCATCCCATCATGGATTTCATCTGAAGTAAAGGCGTTAAGGAATCCTCATGTGGGACCTACTCCCAATCCACTCATCTTCACAGCTGAGTCAGAGGGGCTTTGAGGCTTTGCCCAGGGCCAAGAAAATCATTTCGGATTGTTATTTTAATTTGGAGAAAATCCAAACTATAAAAAAAGTGTACGCACCTTTTGTACAACATACACACCCAAAGCTCATTCCACCCTGACCTCCTGTCCACCTCAGGTGGAGTACAATAAATATCTTCTAAGCAGCGACAAACTATTTTACCAGCCACTCACCTTCCAACAAAGTGACAGGGTTCCTAAACGCTTATCATGTGTCGCTTAGACACATTGTGCTCACAACAGACTTCAGTATTGAACAGAGAGAACCAGGACTAGGTTACTAGCCCCTTCTTCAGGAAGTCACACAAAGGATACAGTCCCCCAGAGACACGTGGTCCTTGAAAATCGTGTACCTAAGGGATAGAAACCTTTCAGAGAGATACCTCAAGAGGCTCTTCAACTTGGAGGCAAGCTGAGAGCCCTGCCTAAGCAAATGGCTGCCAGCAACGCTCCTTCTGGCTTAGTCCTACCCAGTTACGAATTTTAACAATGCACTCACCATTTCTTCAAAACAATCTTATTCCAGCGGGTGCCAGTTTGGGCTGCGATCAGCTTCTTAAGGTCCCCGATGGTGTCATCCGTGCTGTACGCAGGAGTTAAGGAAAATGGAAGGGGGAAGTAGAACGAGGACGACATTCCGGGGCTAAATACACTCTGCCAGGATCCCATTCCCCCCCTTCTCCCGGGTTTAACTAAAATCACCCCTCAACACAGACTGAGTTGCCTGCGGGTCCCAGGCATCCCCTCTCTTCCCCAGGACGACGATATCTCGGCTGCCAGTGGATACTTGCACTTAACGCGGACCTTCTTCCCCAGTCGGTCGTTACAGACAACCTCGATCATTCTGTCTGGTCCTACATAGGGTCGAGGGTGGGGAGAGGGAGATTACAATCAGGACTTCAAGAGTCTCTTAGGCCTGGAATCCCCTGATTATTCAGTCTTACTTTTACTATGCATCCCTCCTCCCCCAAGCCCGAGTTCTCCCGCGCCCCAGGGGGGTCCAGTTCCAGGACAGCGAAATCCAGGCAGCCCCTCCTCCACCTTTCAGTCGCCAGAGAGCCGGGTCTCGGTTCTCGCAAGCCCGCAGGCCGTTGAAGGCCGGGTCGCCCGAGTGTTGCTCGATTCTGGACCCATCTATCGGTCCCCCTTACCTCAATTAGCCTGGAAGCAGCCTAACCAACAACCTCCTCGAACGCAGGACAGGGACAGAAAGTTGACGCTGAGAACCAGAAGCGGAAGTGCGCAGCCGGAAGCCCCGCCCACTCCACCCCTCGGTGCCCACCGTCTTTCAGCCGACGTCTTTCCGGTCTAGACCAGCTTTGCGGTCGCTAGCCTAGGACCTGGGTACCTGTGCTCAGGGCGCGGGCCGAGTGGGGTGGTCCCCGTCCGCGTGGGGCGGTCCCCGTCCGCGTGGGGCCGGCGCAAGGGCATGGAGGGAGGGAGAGCTATAAGTCTGGGTGGGCGCCAGCCCGTTGGAAGCCGTTACTTGGGCCCCTTCTTTGTGGGGAGACGCCTCCAGTTGATGAGGATTCCAGAGGTGCCGGCGGTTATTGGTGGGTGGTGGGGTGGACTTTGGCCTCTGGACCCTGGGTCCCACGAAGTTTCTTACTTCAAGTGGGCAATGGAGAGCGGGGTTCCAATCCTACCGCCATCGCACCCGGCCCTCCTGCTTACTTTCTGGGCTGGGTTTCGGTCAGTTTTCTTCACTCCTTCCCTCTGGCTATGTTGCTTTTCTTCTACCTTAGGACACCTGGGGTGTAGCCCACAGTCTGTAAGCAAGGGAACGCCAGATTCAGGCTTGGTACCAACAGTCACTAGAATTGTTTCAGGGCAGAGAGGGGGCACCCTAGAACCCCCAAACCTGCCTGCTCTAAATAGGTTCTTCCATCGCACATCAAGACAAAGTACATGAGACTTTTTTTTTTTTTTTTTTTAGTGATTAAGAACATGTTTAAAACTTAAAGGCTGACTTGAAGGAAAGTGAAACTAGTAATCCTTTGGCCAGAAAGGAAAATTATAGCTAAGAATTATATTACATTATATTGTTATATTACATATTGCTTTAAACATTAGAATTCTACTTACTATCCGTATGATCATGTGCATGTGATTTCACTTCTGCGAGTTTTCAATTCCCATTTACTTGTATATTCATTTATTTTTTAAATTTTATTTACAGAAGTTTATTTTTACATCATTTTGTACATTTTTTCCCCCATCTCAATTGTAATCCCCGCGGGTTTCCCATCACCAAGTCACCCGTGTGCCATCACCATAATCCCGTGCATTTCCCTCCCCCCCTTATATATGAGACTTTTAATGGAAAGGAACTTTTGTTACTGTCCCTGTGATTTTGATATGTATTTGCTGTTTTGTTTTGGCTAATACCGCTAGAAGTTTTGTTTTGTTTTCCTTTACACATGTTCTGATGGATTATTTTGCTGTAATGACCATCCTGCTGTACATTCACGGACGATGTTGGTGACAGCTGTTTCTTTGGTGTATACTGGAAATCTTAAGAAGATTGTCTCTTAAGACTGCACCCTCAAATCTGTGCCACCATAGCTATAGTGGCATAAAAATCAAAAGGGGGAATTGTTAGGGGAAAAGGATGTCCTGAATGAACTCTGCAGATACAGGTTTTGTGAACACTGCCCCACCCCTGACACGGAAATTACAAATCCCATCACCAAAGGGAGGATTGCTGGGACCTGAGGGTGGAGTTAAGCAGCCAGGTTTGGATATAAAGCCAGACATGCAGGCTTTGGGGGGGTCTCTTCACTCTGGGCCTCTTGGCTTGCAGTGTGTCCCTTGACTTTTTGCTGTCTTTCACTGTGCTGTTAGGGTTCCAGTTCAGTGGAACTGGTAGGGCTTTCCCTTTCTATTGTAAATAAACCTATTATTACCTTTTTGTGTGTGCTTGCAGTTGAATCTTAAAAGTCCCATTAAGCGCGCTGGTGAGGACCCACAGTCAGGTAACCTAATTCGCATTGGGTTGCCCTGTAACACTAATACAATTAGTGTGCAATACAAAAAAGGCAAAGACTATTGTTTCTAAATTAAATACCCAACATTACCCATCCCTTTTTGGGTAGAAGTCCACAAAGGGATTGGCCCAAAGCAAGGCCTGAAAGCCCACCACTATTTAAAGCACCTTTCAGCAGGGTCAGAAATGGCCAGACAAGTCTGGGAGGAAGAGAGCAAAATCAAGATAAATGCTGCCATAGTTAATTTCCCCATGGACTTCCAGCCTCCCCACCCCCACCCCATCTGTTTCAACCAATGCAGGACCAAAAAACTAGCTGCTTCTTCACATGTCTCTGCTCCATGTGCCTCCCTTAGGTCTCCTGGATCTCCATCCTGCTGCTTTCTTCAGTCTCCTCGCCAGATGTTTCTCCTCCATGGAGGCTCAGCTCCACCCTCCTTTGGGTGGGGCTGGGAACCTGGAACCTCCCTTTTTCCTGGGGACCACCTGTTACAGAATGGCGTTCACATGAACTAGCTGCACCTGTGAGGAAGTGAGGATGTTAGAACTGGTTGAACTGCAAAACCCACTAAAGTGCAAGGAGCACTTCAAACCATTTGGCAGCCTTGTCTTTGAACCCCAAAGCAGCCCCTCTACTAGTTTGGAATCCTTGTGTCTGGTGGGGCAGGGGGTATCCCTTCCAGCATTCTGTGTAGCAACTTCTGCCAGGGGAACTGCCTTTTCAGTAGGCAGCATTTTTCCAATTTGATGAACTTTAAAAAAATTAAAAAAATATATTTATTTATGCATACATAGCTGGGGTACAGGCCAGAGGAGCAGGGGTGATGAGAGGATTCACCAGAGACAGAGTGGGGAGCAAAACAGGCAGATCCACAAAGAACACTGCTGAGGGGAGCAGCAGGCGGGTCAGGGCGGGTCCAGGGCTTAGGGATCGAACTCACACGGAAGCGGCTGTGGCTAGCTTGCAGTGTTGTGTTTAACCCACTGTGCCACCAGGGAGTGCCCCTTTTTTAAAATTAAAAAAAAAAAGATTTATTTATTTATGCATACAGAACTGGGGTATAGGCCTGAGGTTTGGTGGGTGAGAGGATTCACCAGAGACAGCATGGGGAGCAGAACAGCCATATTGACAAGGTATACTGCTGAGGGTAGCAGAAGGGGGGTCAGGAGAGGTCTGCCACGCTATGTGGGTCAGATCCAACTTGTGTTGCAGTGTCTTTGGAGAGCTTCATAATGCGGCACTTTAACCCATTGTGCCACCAGAGAGAACCTCCAATTTGATGAACTTTTTTTTTATTTGATGAACTTTTAAAGGGATTTATTCAGAAAAGGGGCCACCACTCCTGACTTGCCCAATCCACCTTAAAACAAGGATATGAGATTAGGGAAAGGACATGAGAGACCATCCTGTGGAAGGGGTGGATGCTCTGTGACCCTATCAGGTCATGCTTGCCTTTGGGAGCTGACCCAACAGGCCTGACCACAAAAACTCAGCTCAAGGGCCTTCCTGCTTACGGTTTTGATCCATCACTTTAACACCTGCCAGTCCCTCCGAGTGCCCTGGAGAGGGCAGGGAATCTGAATGGAACGGTTTATTCATATTGAGACATAGGCTATGGATCCAGAAAGATGAGCCAAACATCAAATTTCACTCCATAATAAGCTATATTTTCTCAAGCAGACTCTCAAATTCTCATTTTCCTCATTTACAGAAAGGGAGTAATGACTCCTGGCATAGGATTGTAGTGAAGACTGATCTTGGTATAGATAGGGGCAAGAGAGGAAGTTGGAACATCTAGGTTAAGATGAGGGTGCTTACTTGTTCAAAGAGCTTGGAAGAAACTTATCATTGTATGTGTGTACACAGGTGTCGGTGGTGGTTACAATGGTGGAATTGTTGAGTGTCATTTGTCTCCAGTACTTCTTGATGTTTGTCTGGATTATCTACAATGAACATATATTGTAAATGGGGCAGTGTTAATTTTTTCAAAAAATTCAAATTTCTTAATGTTTGGTTCAAAGATACCTCAAATACAGGATCATAATGCCCAGTTATACATAGGAAGAGATTGGAAATTGGTGAAGAAAACGGCTAAAAGTGTAGAAAAAATCTGGGGTTCTTGGGGACTTGGGCTCCGTGGAGAGTGATGGGAAAGCCACAGGCAGCGGCAAGCCCAGCCAGACTAACCTGTCTCAAGGGAGTAAGAGGGGCAATGGGCAGTTACAGGACAAGACTGCTGTTAGCTGCATAGACTTTATCCCCTGCACCTAGGTGAGAGGGGGAGGGGGGCCTAAGAAATAGTATGCCTTACCCCACACAATGGTTATTATACCTCATAACTTAACATGAGCCCCCACTGAGGAGCCTGGTCGGCCCCATCTCCCTGTCTGGGTGGCAGAAGGATCTGCCTTCAGAACTGCTCCTGTGTGTGTGTTGGGGGGTGGGAGGTGCTTCCCAGTAGGGAAGAGTTCTGGATTCTAACCTAAGGAGCAAGTTGGGCAACCCCCATCCCATTTTCCTGCATTTCTGACTGAGGAAGGCAACTTCCATGTGCAGATCCCTTCCCACTACTCCTGTATGCAAGTAGGGCAGGAGATAGTTCATAGGGGTCCCATGTAACTGAGCTAGAGGTAAGGACACCTTTGTCCCATTGAACGTAAAAGCAGTTGCCTTCTTTAGCTTTCATCAGAGGGGAACTAACCTTAGAGGTGGAGGGAGTTGATTAGGAGTAAAACTGCCAAGGCTGGGGGCTGATCATTTCTTATAAGTTTTCACCTGTGAGCTCACAATTGTAAGGCACCACTCAGGTTTAGGGTACAACAAAAACGGGGTCAAAAGAAAGAGTTTACAAAGCACAGATAGCTGCCCTATGACAGTATCTGCAGTGGCCAGCGATCCAGAACAAAGGCTGGTGATGCAAGATGGTGCTTTTCTTTTGACGAGCACCTGACACTGGTGGCATCCTGGTAAGCAGTGGGCCAGGATCCAACTCAGTGGCAGCTGGGGGTGACAACAAGTGGAACTGGTGAGGTGACACTGCAGTAACCAAGAGCAAAGTCCAAGGCCAGGCTGGATAGCCCTGGATGTCAGAAAGGACAGTGCTAAGCTGTGCCAGAGGATTAGAAGTAGTGGATCCTGTTTCTCAGAGGGATCCTGTTTGGTTTATAATATATATCTGGGATTTACGTTTTTTTAAAAAGGGTAATATGCATGCTAGAAAACTCAAGCAGCATAGGTCCCTCCCTGGTGGCGTAGCGGGTTAAAG